ATAACTACTATTTACCGAATGCCAGTTATTTTTAAGAACTATGTGATGTACATATAGAGAGGTTACATATATAAAATGTTCATATGTATAACACATTATATATATGCTGTGTTACATGTCGTATCATTGAATCTCCAAATATGAAGCAAAGGCCCAGAGAGGTAAATAATTTGCCCAGCCTTAGGAATTGTGAAACTTTGGCATCAGTCACTTGGAGGGTCAAAATTCTACCTGGAATTTTGTGAGAGCAAGGTGACTGGCCTAGAAAGTTAATGGTTGTTTTCAGCTATAAACAAAAACAGATAACTCCCAGAAAGGGTCTTACCATCAGTTCCTGAGTAGTATATAAGTTTCACCAAATTACTTAGACCATGTCTTCTGACCCTTGGTTAGTGATCATGTACCAAGAGCAGTATGATACTTGTTACTAGAGTGATTTATCTTCTTGTGATTTAGTATGGTGAGAAAGGAAAAAAACAAGACTTTTGTGCTAGCCAAAAAGATAATATGTATCTAATTCTGAGCCTTATCACTTGGTAGCTCTCTGGCTTTGACAAGTTATTGGGCTTCTCTGAGTTTCCATTTTCTCGTCTAAAAGTACACAGATAATGATGAAGTTGATGGCGACAGCGATGACAATGACTAGTGCTACCTACTGCATAGGGTGTTGCAGGAGTAAGCTAATGTCTGCCATATTATAAGCACAAATATATGTTAGATATGAGTGATTATTATAAATCCCTTAGATTATTGTCAAGAGCTCACTACTCCCCCACAGAATGAAGTCATGAGTGCCTCTCTTATAGAATTTTATTTTTTTAATCCTTTGGGAAAATGGGCATTGTTCGCCGGACCAAGGTAGATCCTGAAAAATAAATTAGGTCTTAAGAATGCCAGTGCCTATGTTCTTGCTCCTTTTAGCATTAAAAATGAAAAGCAAACCTTTTATAGAAGTACAAGGCTGAATGACAGCACAGCCCAAGGACCACTTGGCTCATTAGCACGCTTGCCTTCCAGGGTTTCCTGACGCCCGCTGCCACTCGTTGTGAGCTCTTTGAAACCACAGAAATTTGCCTGCGCAGGTGTGGAGAGCCTCCTTGAATTACATAGGGTGCACGAAAGAGCAAATTATTTAGGCAATAGCGCTGAAAGTGTGGGCGAATGAGGTTTCATAGCAAGATTTTTCATTGTGAAGCCAATTCATGAGAATATGCGTGCATCTTGCTTCAGAGATTTCGCTACACAATAAACCTCTTTGCTGGGATGAATATGGATGTGGGTTAATTTAATCAATATGCTTGTGAACATTGAAAGTAGTGGTGTCTGACAGAACTTTTTGTGAGTTGTTGGATTAAACACAGGTCTAAGTGCCCTGCTCCAATCTGCAGATGCTTGCTTGCCAGGAATATCAACGCGTGCGATCAGTTTGCATTCAGACGCTTTGCTTTGGGGGCAGGTAGATCGTAGTCATTTCCTAAAGAGCACTTGCACCTGAAATTGTCTTCTGCAAGAAGAGAGCCATGCAGGGGGTAGGCTAGGAGAATGGTGTAATCTGACCACTCAGAATACCTGAGCTGGCTTTGGAGAAACCTTTTCATCACCTTACCATGAGATTCCCAGTGAAACTTGTTCTAGTTAATTCTGATTCTTTTTTTTTTTTTTTTTTTTTTTGAGTTGGAGTCTCACTCTGTCACCCAGACTGGAGTGCAGTGGCCACTCCTGGCCACCACAACCTCGACCTGCTGGGTTCCAGCGATCCTTCTGCCTCAGCCTTCCAAGTAGCTGAAACTACAGGCGCGCGCTACCACGCCCGGCTAATTTTTTATTTATTGTAGAGATGAGGACTCGTCAAGTTGCCCAGGCGGGTCTCAAACCCGCGAGCTCAGACAATCCACTCACCTCAGCCTCCCAAAGCGCGGGATTACAGGCTGAGCCACCGAGTCCAGCAATTTTGATTCTTGAACCAGAATTGCACGGTGGAAGTAAGCATCCACACGGTGGGGTCAAGGTCAAGGCGAATGGCCACCTGCTTAGAAATACAAGTCAGGCAGGTGCAGTGGCTCACACCTATAATCCCAGGACTGTGGGAGGCCAAGGTGGTGGGATTGCTTGAGCAGGCAATGGAGAGAGACCCCGTCTTTACAAAACATCAAAAATTAACTGGGCGTGGTGGCCCGTGCCTGTAGTCCCAGCTATTCAGGAGGCTGAGGCAGAAGGGTCACTGAAGTCCAGGAGGTTAAAGCTGCAGTCAGCCATGAGCATGCGACTGCACTCTAGCCGGGGTGAGACAAAGTGAGACACAACTCAAAAAAAAAATTTTTTTTTAATAGAGAAATGCAAGTCAAACTACAGTGAGTTCATTTATTCTAAACTTCTTGGCCTCAGTCAACCTTGTGACTTGGCTCAGATATCTTCCAGATCTGACAGCAAGGCTGGAGACCAAGGATTTAGGAACCTGACTCAGGCCATCAGCCTTGTGTCACAGGGCACCAAACTCCAGGTCTGTGCTACAAATGCTCCCCACCTCCACCCCCATCATCCCCCAGCCAGGCTATGAGCAATTCCAAGTGTTGAAGCGCTGAGGCCAGGATGGCACTCCTGGGCCCACCCTCATCATGAGCAGACCTCCATGCTAGACAGGCATTTCGGTTGTGGCCATTAATATCATCACTCCACTTCTTATTGGTAACCCACTGCAAGTCCAGGCCGACTAAACAGCAATGCTGCATGTGATTTTCAATTTGATCCAATTGCAGTGTTACTGGATGTTTCCAATATGCCCAAAGCCTTCACAACCTTATAAAGGACTAAATAGCTATGCTTGAGCTCCCCATTGTGAATGTGGAATGAAGAGAACTGTGAAAGGCCCACATTTTGTATTAGCATTGCTTTCCTTGTTTCGGGTAGTTTTGATGCTGACTTAAATTGCTGCGCCTAAAGAGGTTTGTTTTATCCCTGATTTCTGTGATTACAGCTTGGGGTGAGACATCAGCTCTGAGTAGGTTTTCTTTACATCTTATATACTTTCGTTTAATAGGTAGTTCAAGGACTTTGTGTTGCCCAATTATTCTATTCCTATGGTGGGGGTGGGGAGCTAGTTCTCTCTATAGACTAGTTAAGTCATGTGGGGAAAATCCAGGCAGTAACTCTCAGCTGATACCACCTTTCAGAATTTCTCTACTTCGACTTGGCTTTTATTGAGTCTCTGAAAAGTATTAGCCTCCCTTCCTCCCTCCTTCCTTCCTTCCCTCCCCCGTTGCAATCTGTGGCACAAACCTTTAACTTGACTATATTAAAAATATTGGAAGAGCCATTAAGTATGAGCCATTATTAGATTTCACATTTCATAAAGAATTTTTCGTGAAGTCAAGCTCGGCGCTAACATGAGGCAGATTTGCAAATAACAAGTTTTGTTAGATGCAGTCTTAAACCTAGTAAGTTGTACAACTTGGAATATACCTATTGGACAGTGAAAAATCACAATTACTGGAGTACTAGAAAGATTATAGAAAATATGTTGGATGTGAGATTTTGAGCAATCTCTAAATCCAAACAAGCAAAGAAACTCAGTATGCCAGTATTAAAAAATGACTGATAAGACAAAGATCTTCCTTCTAAAATAGTTTGCACTCCCTAAAAGTCACCAGAGTTCTTGTACTAGGTCCCGGGAAAGTGGGTCAGCAATACACATGGTTTATAACGAGGTTAAACCCAATAGTTTCATGTGTGTTCTTTCTAAGTATCAAATACATCGCATCAAATTCACAGTAAGTGGTTATGGAATTATCCCAGGATATGGGACTACATTAGAAAAAAGAGTGGACTGTGTGTATATGTGTGGTACTTAAACTGTGTGACATATTCCTTGGACAAAGTCCTTGCTCTCTGTAGGGCATGGGGCTAGGTAGGGGCTATATAAAAATAAAGTAAGCTTCGATACCTGCAATTGTGTTTGTGGGTATAATTTAGTAGATAATCTGGCATGATATTCAGGAGTAAAAATAAATTTAGCACAATAGAACATTCCAGATAAACTGGTGACCATCACCATCCTGTCTATACAGCTCGGCATTGGTTTTTATTTCACATATAAACTCTATTAATAGATGATCCAAGAACTTTCATTTGCCTACTTATTCTTTTCCTTAAGTTATTTTTAATCCCTAGTTATGCTCTTTTTGACTTTATTCAGGATATAATGTGTTTTGCTTAGCAGTGTGCTTTTTCCTATTTGAGACGTTGGTGTGATATATGTTAATTATTTGGATAGTCTTCCTGTATAAGCCATCCTTAAGTAATCAGTTGGGTAGAAACACATGCATGCTGTACCAGGAAATCCATTTCCAACCTAGAGAACTCAGAAGCTCCATATCCTATTTGTCAGGTTTTATCTTGTGAAATTTAGATAGGACACTAACTTTGCAGTTGAAAGGTTTGGGTCATACACAAGTGGACTAATTTTTAACACATGGCAACTACATTAATTTTTTTAAAAGATGAAGGAATGCTTAACTTACCGTCATATGTAACCTATTAGTAGTTTGAATTGAATCATTTTCCTAAGTAGATCTGACTTTTCGGAGTGTCGTTTTCTCTAGCCGTGGAGCTACAATGCTCAGCCAAGAAAGATTTATGATCTTTTAAAAATAATGATGGAAAATGAGATCGGAGAACACATCTTAGTATCTGCTTTGCTCTGAGGCCTAAACTGCGAACTCTCCAGTTCTTGAAGGCTTTGAAATGCTGATCCCAGTCTTCTTGTGGGTTCTTAAACACCTTCTCAAATGACCCATTTTAATAACCCAAAAGCTATTATATAACGAGCAGCCATAATTTAGTCCAGGGCTCTAGGGGCACCCTCACAGTTCAGCAATGAATAGTTAATGCAGTATAATGTTTAGCAGGTTATTAGTTTTCACTATACAAATGCTGATCAGGGAACGCTTTTATAAGGTGTTTAAAAGAAAATGTAATTAACTGGTTGCGTGCTTCTGTTGCAGCTCAAATTGAAATTATTCCATGCAAGATCTGTGGAGACAAATCGTCAGGAATTCATTATGGTGTCATTACATGTGAAGGCTGCAAGGTAAGCCTTTTGAGTTGTTGTTTCTATTAATGTTGGGATGTACCTTTGAGGTTTTTATGTTTTACCTCTACTATGTCTCAGAATCCAACTCCTTGGAATTGGAGGCTATTTCATATGAAATCCTCCAGCAGTTTGGAATTTTGAGTGATGAGAAATGACAGAGGAAATATTTTGGTGTCAAATTTCAATTAAGGAAGTTCTATGTATTTTTACTCCTTCAAAATAACAGGAAACTAGAAAAAGTTATTCGAGCATGGCTTAGGTTTGTCACTTTCAACCTCATGGCTGATTGAATGGATGAGCAATCTCTTTCGTCATCTTTGTTTAAAAAGACATGACTCCAGACTTCTATGATGTCCCTGGTACAAGCTTTGTAAAAAGGTATTTCTGATAAGTTTAATTGGAATGTGATTGAGTCTCATTGTTGGTATACAGGTGTTAACACGTCTGGCCATGTTATGGGAAGGCTGTTAGGAAGAACTGAATTCTAGCCCAAGCACCACCATTTGCCCATATTGCTTGGGGCATGTCTTCATCTTTTTTGACTCAGTTTCTCTGCTTATAAAGTGAGAGTAACACCTGTTCTTCCTACTTTTTAGGACTACTCCAAAACTAGAATGAGAAGCTATAAATAAAAGTCCTTACAAATGGAAAAGTACTATTTAAATCAAAATATTACCCTTATTATTGTTATTGTTACTTTTTTATTATTACTGACTTTAATCAATGGGGCAATATGTATATTGTATAATTGGGAAATAGAAATGTTTATCCTAATAATTTAAGAACTTCCAAGCCCAGATTGCCTGTTATTCACATTTCAGTTTATTAAGATTTAAATCTTCGTGCTTGTATTAGAAGGGCCTTGAGACAGCTTACAGGATAAAACGATGCAAAATAAACAGGGGAGAAGCTATTTAAACATTCAGGAGGTCCCTAGATGGCCGACTGCTACAACCAGGCCTGAATTAGCCCTAAGGCTTCTAGAGGCTGAGGCAAAAAATAAAATCTGTGAATTTGGTTAGCTTTCCTTTAGCAAAATTAGAAAATACCATGTCATCAAATCCGAAAATCACCTACAGACACAAATAACTACTTAGTGACATCAGGGAAATTAACCTCATCATTTCCTTAATTCTTTGTTTTACTGTTTATCATGGTAACATTTGCAAATTTGTACATGCACAAAGACTTCATGTTGATCCCGTTTGAGTGAAGTTTGAGGTTTCTGCACACCACTGAACGCATGTCATCAACTTTTAAAAAAAATTACCTGTCTTTTTTAGGAGTGGAAGGCTTGCTATTTAGGGGATATTTCAAATTATTCATCCCTATGGTAACCCTCAAGTCCTCAGAGTTCTGGATTACAAAGAAAAAAAAAGTTAAGCCCTTTTACTTCCAAAATCTGCCCTCGCTCAAGACAAATTAGCTAATTAAATAAATAAAATAAAACAAAATGAAATGAACCACCTGGGCTGTGGCATCCAAGGATGTAAAGAAGAGCGTGATTGACTTGACTGTGGCCACCATCACCTCAAGATTTTTGGAGTCAGTTTTTCTGATGATGCTGGGCAGCTGTTGTCTTTCATTCTTACCCACTCTGTGCTCCACCTCCCAGAGCTGTGTCCCTGGTGGAGATGCCATGGCCTTTCCGGTGAAGGGTCTGTAGACCCCAGGACTTGCCTGCAAGGGGTTCTACATGAATTTGATTTGTGCACTGTGTATCACCCAGGTATTGTCGAGAAGACAGGGTGCCAGGCAGTATCCTATTCACCCGTTCACTACTTGTCCCTTCATGCTGCCCCAAAAAAGGACCTCTTCCTCTGAGTTTGTCAGTGATGCCGTGTGTAGTTTTATGCCTGGTTATGTCGTTTTCTGGAAGTGATTGCCAAGGAATTGAGTCTGGGAGAGAGGCAGGCTCGGGGGGAGGGCTACCTCATATGAAATTCTCCAGCAGTTTGGAAGATTAATGAGCAACATGCTATTCAATAGAACCTGAACCGACTGAGTACCACTGTGTTTGCATAGGCACAAACAATGAGCTTTTTTTTTTTTTTTTTACCCTGAATATTGGTCATGACAAAAACAAAAGCAATAAGAAAACAAAGAACAACTAGGATTCCACAGCTATTATTTTCCTAGATTCCCTTCCAGATCTTGTCTGAACATATAGCCTCGGTGACGAAGTGGTTTTTAGTTATGTGTGGTTCTGCTCCTCTGCTCTGTTGACTTTATACAATGAAAACCACAAAACAATTAAAACATAGTTTTATTAACAGATTGGGTCTATGCCCAGCCAGGGACCCGTACAATGTTATGCGTGTATATTTGATGCACACACCATTTATTCTGTATTATAGTTTTTCTCTTCTGTTAACTGTTAACATTTTTATTCCTAGTTATGGTGAAGTCAAGAGACTTCTTTTTTTTGTCATTTATGTTAATTATTTATCATGTTCTAACCAGGTAAAGGTGGTTATATCATGACCAGTTGTAAATAATTTATCTTTGTGCTAGTTATAATTAGACATAAGAAAAACTTCAAATTAGACATATCAAATGGTATCTTATAAGAGGGGAAGGAGGACTCAGTCGTTTTCTGAGCTACTCATTTTGTGAGTGTATTTTAAAAATCAACAACCTAGGCCAGGCGCGGTGGCTCAAGTCTGTAATCCCAGCACTTTGGGAGGCCGAAGTGAGGGGGTTGACTGAGCCCACCGGTTCGAGAACAGCCTGGACAACTTGGTGAGACCTCATCTCTACAATAAATCAAAAAATTAGCCAGGCGTGGTAGCACACACCTGTAGTTCTGGCCACTTGGAAGGCTGAGACAGAAGGATCACTGAGCCCAGCAGGTCAACACTGGGGTGGCCACAAGCATGCTACTGCCCTCCAGCCTAGGAGACTGAGTGAGACTCCAACTCAAAAAAAACAAAAAATCAACAACCTGAAACCATAAGAACCTGTTTATTTGCTGAAATAACTGTTTAACCACATATTTGCTAAGTGCTGCACATGGGCAGCAAAAATGGCAAAAGGCCCAGGTACCTATAATCCCAGTGCTTTGGGAGGCCGAGGCGGAAGGATTGCTTGAGGCCAGGAGTTTGAGACCAGCCTGGGCAACATAGCAAGATTTCATCTCTACAAAAAAAAAATATATTAGCCGGCATGGTAGAATGAGCCTGTAGTCCTAGCTACATAGGATGCTGAGGCAGGACGATTACTTGAGCCCGAATTTGTGACTCGGCAATAAGCTATGATCTCACCACTGCACTCCAGCCTGGTCAACAGGATGAGATCCTGTCTCGAAAAAAAAAAAAGAAAGAAAGAAAAGAAAAAAAAGGCAGAAGTTTTAGCCACTCTTTCCCTTGTGTTTGGTTGTTCCTAGCTCACCCTCTCCTGTCTCCTTTATTCTCTGGAGAGACAGCATTGTCCCGTGCTTATGCTCTGACTACAGAACCAGACTGCTTAGGTTGAAATCCTAGCTCTGCTATTTACCAGCTTGAGCCCCTCCCCCACTGCTCTGTGCCTCAGTTAACCCATCTATAGAAAGAAGATTATCACTGTAATATCTTCACAGGGTTATCGTGTGCATTTTAGGTAAAGGCCTTGGAAGAGTGGCAGGTGCATAACAAATACTGATGTGGCGTCGGCTGTCCTCACTGTCATTCCTTGCCAAACTTCTTAGTGGCTTGGTGATACTGCTCTGTATAGTCAGATATGATTTCCGGGACATCTAGGGGTCCAGTCTTACTGTTGTGACCATTTGCTATTTGTTATGTAGAATCTGCTAACAACAACCACACCAACACACGCACACAGTCCCCTGCGAACAGGCACTGTTAAGCCTTATAAGGGATTCTAAGACAAAGAACGCCTCCATTCAGTAGTCAGTGGTCTAGTGGTAGAAAGGAGGCCTGTACTGGAACAGCTAAATAGCTACACAAGGACTAAGTAACAGAGTAAGGCCACAGTCTGATGGGCACAAGCAGCACATAGCCACTGGGCAGCATATCTAGGAGGCCTGGAGAGTCCCCATGCTCTGCCCATTCAAGGCTTTAATGAGGAGGCATTGACTGTGGTGGTTGAAGAAGGATTTGGCCAGTGAAGGAGAATGGGGAGGACACTCTAACTGGGGAGGAGGGAGAATGAGGAATGACAGAGGAAAAGTCCAGAAATTGAGTGGCCGTGGTTGCATCCAGGGGACAGCACATCACCCAGTCTGACTGAAGCAAAGGGTCACTTTCTGGGGGTGGTGGGGGTTAAGGATAGACAGATGCACCATCCCCAAATTCTTAAGGACTCCTTTATACCAAGGTTTTATTCTAAAGGTACTTTGCCTGTTATTCTGAAAGAACAAGAGGACAACTTGATGGCACTGCCGAGTCGTGGATAGTGCCTTTCAGAAGAACATGCGTTAGAACTCAGGCCTTCAAGGTTTTAGTTCTGTTCACAGGGGCCTTTCTGAGCTCTTGGGACAGAATTTAGTTTCAGCCTTGGTGAGCAGCGTGAGAGGTATGAGGCGAGCTAGGCAGACCTGCTAGGCAAGAATGCAGGTCCTGTGACAAGCCAGCAGAGGAAAAGCCAGAGTGACATTAGAGGCGGTGGGTGTTAGGGCTAAGGCTCAGTCTTTAAAGTGAATAAAGTGTTAAGAGAAAAATGGTCAAGATACACACACACACAACCTGGGCAACAGAGGGTGACCTCATCTCTACAAAAAAGCCAAAAAATTAGCCAGGTGTGGTGGCATGCACCTGTCACCCCAGCTACCCAGGAGGTTGAGCAGGAAGGATCGCCTGAACCCAGGAGGTCAAGGCTGTGATGAGCCATGATTGTCCCACTGTGCTCCAGCCTGGGCTACAAAGTGAGACCCCTAATCAAAACACACATCTTAGCTCTCCAATTTTTTTAGTGATAGTGTACAATCCAATATCAGGGTTAGTGAATTGGTTTCTGCTTATATTTAAGACTCTGCTCTTGACAAGTCTAAGAACAGAGTG